TTACTCGCCGTTCATTGTAATAACGACAACAATCGCGGCGCTGGATTACTCCACTTTATCACGCTACACAAAATCATAACACTAAATTTCTTCAAAACAAATATTAAAACTGATAACAATAAGAACAAAACGATTAATAAAATGTATACTTTTACAAAACAAAACATACAGAGATTATTTCTGTGGTGATACAAATTGTGATACAAATATCTGATTTATAGAATGAGCCATTTGATAATTATTTTTTTCTCTGACTACAATACTTGATATTAAATTTTAAAAGGAATATTAAACGTTCATCCTACTTTAATAGATTCAATCTTCATTTGATCGACACTCCTATGGTTTGTTTTTTGTTTGCTGTTATACACAAGAATAATATCTTCGTATTAAAGTTTCTATTTCATTAATTCTTATATTTGTCTTCGATAGTTTTTCATTAAATACTAAAAATGTGTGCAGTACATTTAACCCCATTTACTATAAATTGACTTTCTCATCCAATCCATAACTCAAAAAGCTTTCATCTACTTCACGAATGCACGGTCGTCGCCTATGACCTACTTTAACCCTACTTTTCGGCTCCAAAATCAAACGACAACCGTTTGCGATTGGCAACAAAAGTCACATGCATTCAGGATATCTTTAAACTGCAAGTCAAAATACGCGTAAAATCCAATTTTTTTATCTTGCGTCATTTGCTTATACTTTACGATACACTGTTGGGGTGTAGCGGTGGAAATTGTGTTATGGATATTATTGCAATATTATTCCGTGGTAACATATATTTTGTATTTACAATATTTTGTCTTAATTTTTCAATTCTTTTTTTCTTAATTCAATTTCAATAAAAATATAATTTCAATGTAAGTATTAACTTTGATAAAAAGTTTAAAACGACTGACAAAAAAGTAAAAATCACTTACATACATATTGCCCAATACACGCGACGTTTCCTAGTTGAAAACGCTTCCCGCAACTGCTGAGATTGGCACCCCTGATTTTCAGCGGCGTGAGCGGCAGAGAGCGCTAGCGCGCGGAGTTTGACGTCTCCCCCCAGGGCTTCGCCGCCCCCCTCCCACGCCCCTGCCAGCCGTCGCGCGCCCTCTCGGTTTATCGCGTGATTGACGCCTGCGGCTCCGGGGAGCTCTCCTCGCCACGCGCCAACCCGCCTCTCCGCCCCCTACACTTCTGTGAGAATGCGAGCGGGCGGGTTGTGGTTCTTACGCTTCTCGCGGCGGTGACGAGCGGGTGAAGCTGGGAGAATAACACTAAAAGAAAGGGAAGAGTGTTGTCGTTTAGGAGTGGGTTTGTTTAAATAGGAGTTCCACAAGGATCGAAATACGGCCCTAGTGTAAAGTATATTATCCTTTAACATTTAGTGGAAAATAAGCCACGTTACCTGTCAATCACACATGGAATTCAGCTAGATCTGTGAGAATGCGAGCGGGTGGGTAGGGGTTCTTAATCTTCTAGTGGTGATGACGAGCATGCGAAGCTTGAAGAATAACACTGAAAGGAAGATTGTTGTCGTTTGGGAGAGAGTTTGCTTGAATAGGCGTTCCACAAGGGTTGAAATGTGACCCCAACTGCAAAGTATATTATTCATGAATATTGAATGGAAAATATTTCCGTCATCCGTCAATCACACATGGAATTCAACTTGACTTTAGGGATGAGCATTCAGTTTACGATTTAAGAGTCCAGTGTTGAAATTATGAGGGGACTCGGGTATTTCAAGATTAATTGAATGCGGGGCGTTT